TTTGACGTGATCCTTGCCTCTTATCTATAACAGATGCGTCTATTATGCCACCTCCGTGGGTGGTGCCTTAGTGGTTGCGGTTTTCTTGCTTGACCATAATGTCATCGTGGTTTATGCGGAACGACAGTTGGTGATTATCAGCTATCGTTCCTTGTTGTTAGCTAAGTGGCCTTGTCGTTGGGGAAAATTGACCTGAGCTTTTTTGGCTGCTTGCCATGAATTGCACGGTTTTAGACATGCTGAGTTGACCACTTTACCTCAATCTTAGCTATATTTTGAATATCATCAATACCATTTTTTAGTTTCACAATCACTTTTTTTCTGAAGTTTTCATGACACGAGTAATTAACAACATAACACACATTGATCATGATGGGACATTTTCAGACATTTCAAGATGATGACACGTGTTTTCGGCGTCAATGGATGCTCGCCGATTAGATCACAACACGTGCGCGTCGATCCATAATCCCCTTTCCCCCAAGAGTACTATTCACAAGGATCAAGGATCCTCAGTATGGCATAAATCGACACGTATTCCTCGGTCAGGTTGAGTACATCGGCCCCTAGCGACGTTGGACCTTCTCCACCGAGGTATATCTGTCTACGAAGCATTTCTGCTCCAAGGGCTACTGATTGACGGGTTATTAGTTTAGGTTAAGCTAAACTAGCTATCATGACATCGTTCCACTCAAACGGTGTCAGAAGGCAGAAGGCTCAACTAAAAGGGAATGAATACATGGCATATTGTGTCAGATTAGAGACAAAAAGACCTGAATGTTCTTGCTGACACACGACTTGGGAGGTTAGACATTTAATGCATCATTCGCTCGATGAGACAACATTTAATGCATAAGATCTTGAAAGTGAAAGGTAATAAGTGTTCCTAATACCAGGGCATTTAATACACCCCCGCCGAGGGAAGATCATTAAACTTCGGCAGACCGAGGAGAAAGCATTAGTTGCTCGGGGTCCCAAGCAGTTAAGAATAAGAACATTACGCATAGAAATTGGTGTGCAAACTGCCCACCTCCAATGATTATCTACTAGCTACATTGTCAATAATGATGAGTTTTTATGGTATAAATAGTCCTCACAACCACAGAAAAGAGGTACACAACAAACCCTCTCTCAACCATCATACAATGTTTTCTTCTTTCCCTCTCTCAAAGAATTGATTTGATTGTCGGAGGGGATACGCTGGAAAACACTCCGATGCCCTTCTAACCTGTTTTTCTTTGTTTTAGGAATATCCCTTAGTCTTCCAGGATCGCTCAAGTGACCCCTAAAAACAGTTCGTTATCACTTTATTGGCCACCTTCAACCCTCACAATCTGTTCCAAGTAACAAGATCGACCATTCGATTGACGGACACGTGTTCACGACGAAAGAAATATGTTCTCGTATTTATATTGTGCAGGATCGTGCACGCACAGATCAATATATATCTAAAACAAACCAAATTACAAGAATCACACCACTGGCCGTTCAACTTTTTTTTAGAATTAGTTTCAATCTTTATAACTTTTGTTAATTCTTTAACTTCTCAAACAGTCGGGAAAGAGAGTAGAAGGGTGGGAAAAGATGAGAGAGAGAGAGAGAATGAGCTAGTGTTATAAATAATGTGTATTACATGGACCCGCTATTAATGTGAAGTAGGAAAATGTTGAAAAATATATACACAATGTGACACTGATGGTGTCTTTCACTTTGATTTGAGCTTGCCTCACTTTCACCTATAAATTTTCAAATGAGAGCTGGTTGAAGAGCACACTTAACCATGCAATTAGAGCATGAAAGAGAAAGCATATACATGAGCAGGCATTGTACAGTTCAAATTTCCCCGTCGAAGGTGTTTCCAGTTGTGTATAATGTTTCAATCATGATCACAAAAATTTTATGACCACTTGGTACTTCTTTCTTCAAGTACACCTTTCTGTGTAATTAATTGAGTTCGTCGTCAAGCTAGAGATTGTTGTAGCTAAGAAATTTAATGCTGTCGGGATAACATGGCAATCCGATCACCTTTGGTTTTAGATAGGAATATGAGTCAGGTGCTAATTAAGTTTATATTAATCTTTCTGAATTGTAACTTGTTTAGTTATAAAATATGGTTTCATCCAACCCAACACCTGATATTTGACCTATATAACCTCCCGTGTCTCACCAACGAATTAAAATTTATTTGAATTTTGAAATTTGGTTTTTACTCTCATAATTTCACATAAATTTTTATCCATCCAAATGGTAAGTAAGAGAAGGAGAGGGGAGGCGGAACAGATGAAAAGTAATGAATTAGTGGTGTAATTTGGGCGGTTTGAACTTATCAAAAAAAAAAAAGAAATTTGGGCACGTTGAGGGATCAACCCTAATCCAACCTTATGCATAAAATTTTCAACTCTAATCTTAACCCGATTATTGCTCGAATTGATTTCGGCCAAGTTTGCATTGAAATTGGATTACCTAATTCAGGCTCAACAAACAATAATCCTAAATTAGGTATTACACAATGTTAGATTATTACATGGGCCTACATAGCCCATTAATGTAAAATTCATCGAGACAATTTATTAAGGGTGTAAGAGTGAACTTTCTTTATATAGGAGAAATGACAGAGTTCAATTGAGCTGTTTATCCGATTGGGATGACAGCTCCTTGTCTTTCTTTTGTTCTTTTTACTTATTCTACATCGGTTGTGTAAACTTATTTTACCATCTATAGTTCTTTTAAATCATGTTTCACTCTCCCTTTAAATAATAATAATAATTACTATAAAAATATGTATTTAAATTTATATCTATAATATAAAATATGATAGATTTCAACAAACTCATTCAACAGTCTCAAATACATTCATCTAATAGCAACCAACATTCCTCTCAAAATCATTCACATTCTATCATACCTTCAGGCACATGTTAATCTAATAATACATAAATTTAGGTTGAACTTAAGTTGGGTTTGAGTTGAGTTCAATTTTTTCAATTCAGGTTGAGTTCATGAACTTGAATTCTTAACTTAAAGTTTGTCCAAATTCAATTCGGGTTGAAACTTTTTAACTTTAATCCTAACTCTAACCCTAAATATTTTAATTCTAGCAGTTTTTTTTTTCGGGGTGGTGGGGGGATGAATAGATATTGTAAATTCTATATACCGGTACGGGATTGAAGTTGTTGCATATTAATACCTCAGGCCCTTCTGACTTGAGCCCCACATTAAGCAAGTAGGTTAGCCAACCTTAACGATCTAATTAAAAAAGCTTACTAATCTCTAATTAAACAGGCTTAAAGGCACTAGTTTGACGGAACTCCCACTCATAATATGCTACAAGCACAATCCTATGTATCCCCTACCCCCAAAGTCCACCGCACACAGAAGCAGGCGAGAGTAGGCAGCTTGTGGTTGATCAAAATTCAAACAACCTTTATCCACCTAAACAAAGTTCAATTTAAGTAATGAAATTTGGACAACAAAATAAGATTTCGTGCAAGAAATAAGATTCTAGAAGAGATCAATATTTCATCCATGTGGTGGTGGCCATATGCACTGGGCTCTCTGATTACCTATCATGAACTTATACAATATATCTATTTTTTTTGGGTCAAGCTCGGTGATCATTAGATTAATCACAAGCTTCAAAATTTTTATAATATTAGTGTTGGATTTTCTTAGAAGAACCTCTTTCTAAGTAATCTTTATAAGTAGGGTTGTTAGTCAAACGAGTCCGAGTCGCATTCGAATCGAGCTTAAAAACTTGTTTCTTAATCATACCTAAAAAATTGTTCAAACTTGGCTTATTTAGGAAACGAGTCGAGCTTAAACGAATCAAAAATAAGTCGAGTCGAGCCTTAGTATTTGCACATAAATGAGTCAAACTTATTGAATTTGAGCCGAGCTTGTAGGACTTATTTTTTAACCGCGCCAAAAAACTTATTAAGTTTGAGCTTATTTAGAAAACGAACTGAACTTGAATAAATCGAACCCAAGTCAAACTCAAGTCAAATTTAAATAGCTCAATTTGATTAACAATGCTACTTATAAGAACTATTTCTCTCTATCGTCACTATACTTGGGAAATTTACAATGTTTTGATGGGTCGTACGTCCTTGTGTAAATAAATGCACAAGATTACAATTTCATTACATGAGCTTTGATCATTTGAAACTGCATTTTGTTTGTAAACTGAATTTAGACAGTTTCACTGACATGGATCAAGAGACTCAAATGGTCATACCTGACCAAATATGTTGACCATCGAAATTAACTTGTAGTAGAAGAATTTGATTAAATAAAACAAAAATAACCATGCTGATTTCCCCCCCCCCCCTCAGTTTTTCCATACTGAAATTTAGCAGTGGTACGATTTATTTCTATGCTGTAGAGTAGCTTGGCACAAATTCAAATGATACTTCTTAATCCGACATGTTCTTTACTCTGACTTTTTATAAATTTAGATCTTCTCCAATTTTTTTTTTTTTATTTTGTAGATTATTTACTATGTACTAATGACCACTTACGTGGAACATCACACTTGAATTTATAATAGAGTAATCTTCTAAGAAAAAAATAAAAAAAAAACTATATTAGAGTGAATGTCTTTCCAATATTTACATAGTTTAGGCTCCCCTTGCCGTGAGAGTTGATACAAGGTAAAACAACTCTCCGGTACACGATACTCCCGCTACTCTGGAGACAAGCCTCATAATCATGTTGAACTTAAAAGTGGTAAATAGAAAATCCAAGAAAGCCAACTGCCTCTCATTATCTCATAATATATGGTATGAGATTCTGACTAAATCTTGAACTTTAAAGAGGAAAATAATAGTTCCAAGATAGCCAACTGCCACTCATAATATTGGTTTTATATATCACCCACAATCACATTCAATGGACACAACAGATAACAACCCAACACCAACCCTCCCTGTCCCCTCTTTTTCTCGGTTTAAAAACTCTCTTTGTCACTCTTCCAATCCACACAGACACGCACACAAATTTACATCCAGAGAGAGAGAGAGATGGTGAACCTAGTGGCAGCACAGAAGCCCTTGATGCTTGGCCTGATGAAGATGGCTGGGATCAAGCCCCACACAGTAGAGATTGAACCAGGAACAGTCATGAATATCTGGGTCCCCAAAGAAACGATCAAGAAACCCAAAAAAAGCAAAAACAAAACCACCGCCAGCGCCACCACCAATATCATCAAACCCACCAAGCCTGTAGTGGTACTCGTCCACGGCTTTGCAGCCGAAGGCATTGTAACATGGCAATTCCAAGTAGGTTCTCTCACCAAAAAGTACTCCGTCTACGTGCCGGACCTCCTCTTCTTCGGAGGTTCAATGACCGACAGCTCCGACCGATCACCGACGTTCCAGGCCGAGTGTTTAATAAATGGACTCAGAAAGTTGGGAGTCGAGAAGTGCACGGTGGTTGGCTTCAGCTACGGTGGCATGGTTGCGTTCAAGATGGCTGAGCTTTACCCGGACTTTGTTCATGCTTTGGTGGTCTCTGGTTCAATCCTGGCCATGACTGACTCCCTTAGCACTGAAACAATAAGCAGCCTCGGGTTCTCTTCTTCTTCTGAGCTCTTGTTGCCTAACTCTGTGAAGGGTCTGAAGGCACTTCTCTCTGTTGCTGCTCACAAAAAGCTCTGGTTTCCTGATTGTCTTCACCAAGATTATCTTGAGGTTAGTTTCACTCTTCTGGCTCTGATACTTGTCTTCTTCTTAGTTTTTGGTGATTATAAGTAGTTTTTCAGGGATACGTAGCTGATAGTTTGAAACTGCATAACTACCACAAGCCAAAGCTAATGAACATCATGAGAGATGGTTCAATATTATTGCCGTTCATACGCACCTGTTGTGACAATTACAAGAAACTTGAAACTATTACCAATAGTCTACCTCCATGATAATCCAATCAATTGACAGTAAACTAATAAAAATTAGTATTTAAACTTAATTTAAACACCTAAACTAATTGTAACTTTTTTTGTGGCTCCACACATTTATCTATATCCGATTTCTTACTTAGCACTCAACCTATTTATCATTCCAGGCATTTTACCTCGACTTATAAATTATTTTTAATATCCGTGACCAGAATATTGTGTTCTTTGATGCCAATTTGTCAAGAACTTACACCAATTTTGTTCTGAAAGCTTCACACAATCGTGTAAACAAATTTGGTTAAACTCTTAACTTCATCGAAACACACGGGATAACAAGCAAGTGTTCATTTTTTTATGCACTGTTTTAAGTACGAATAAGGTGAATGAGCAAATAGGTGAGGTGCAATTTGGAAACAGAAATCATTATATTTTGTGGGATGCTCTTATTTTTTTGACCTCTTAAATTTTTCCATATTTTTAGGTTTCAGTTAACTATAGATTTAGTTATATTTTGATTTTTTTAAAGCTAAATTTCATGGGAATTTTTTCTCTTTAGGCTTTAGTAAATGTAGTATTATGTCCCATATATGGAAATTCATCTAGTTGTCAATAACACAAGTCTGTGTAAGAAAAGACTTGTGCAAGTGAATAATGGTAACCCACGACCCAATTAAACATTATTATAATTACAAAGTAGTTCAAGTGGTAACAGAAATAAAGTATAAATTTAGATGTTTTGAATTCGAATCTTGGTAATCTCTTGAGGTCAAGTCTTGAAGAATTTCTCTTATAAATTTTTTATTCCCAACGGGGATAGTCTGTTTTTGACCAAACTAATAAAAGAATTAATCGAGATACGCATAAACTGACATAAACACTTTAATCAATCGTTGAAAAAAAAAATTAAGAATATTGCTGGCGTAACTATACAAAATGTTTGAGGATAATATGAATATCAATGTCAGTACAGGTTGCCCATAACTCCCTCAGTCTCCTTCATCAAGGACTCAGCAGTCGACCTCAGAGTTGATTTGGAAATATACACTATATATAAGAACAATGTTATTAGACCTAATTTAAGAACTTAATTTGAAATTATAGTTTGTTTTGACTATAGTATTAGTAAGGGGTACGAACATTTGATTAAAATGACTATCAATCTTATGACCAAAATTTATAAGATTTTAAAATAAGCCTGTTTATTTGTTTGTTAATCCCACATGCAAATCGGAGTCTCACATGAAAAAAAAATGTAAATAAAGCTTGTATCTCATATGAGATGATTAGCACCGTCCAAAATTAGTTTATCTGTTTAAGAATCTCTCCACTCATTACTAAGTAATTTTGGGTTATATGCTTTAAAAGTCTCATACCTAAATGCTGAAACAAATGGTCTGGACTCTGGACCCGGCTTGCCATCAGTGTCATTCTATTACCTTCTATTTTTTCCTTTTCTGTATTATTATCTACCAATGCTCAACCAACTAAACCTAATTACTATATATGTCAGCAACAAGGACCATGATTTGTCTTCGAATACATCAACTTGACCACGCACTGGTAGGGTCCACTAAACTACAGTAGATGATCCACAGTCTAGTACGGAGAGAACTCCAAGCAATATAAGAGAATATTTTAAATGCTAACATAAATTAATCGTAAATTGATTTTGAGTTTAAATCTTTGTGATTTTTTAGCGTTAAATTATAAAAGATTTATTTCTTATGAATATCTTAATTTGGCACGAATGACCAACATTTAACTAAGAACGGATTTGTCGAAATTTAACATCCTAACCATTGAAGAAATAAGAAAAAAAAAGAAAACAAGAAGGCAACCACAAGTAATGGTTGAGTCACCATGTTGTGGTTTAGTGGGTCCTAGAGGATACTCATTGCCTCTATTCAGCTGCACCTTTGCCCGTAAATTGGAAAATTCTTGTGTTTGATCTTGTGTTTGTTAGCCAAAAAAAACATGGCGGAGCCACCTGGATGATCCCCTAAGTTTTTGAAAATTGTCTTTCAATTCTTTTAACTTTTGGTGTTTTTATTATAGGATGGTCCCCTCTAGTTTTGTTTTGTTTCAATATGGCTCCTTGTAATCCTTGCAATATGTATCGTTTGTCATCTCTTAATCGGTCCCAATTTGAGAAATTCTAAACTTATTTTTAACTTCACCCCTGACTAAAATAGATCCCAATCGACATGAAGAACTTGTTTCTTCATAAGCAACTTGGGATGATCTTCGAGATCTTCTCTCATCACAAAATTTTAAGTTGTACGTATTTAGATAGCTCCTAATGAGAAATGTGTAAAACTCAATTGTTGAATTCATTTGTCGTATCCAATTAAATATCTGACAAGGGCAAATCTATATATTTTGAAAATATTCATAACTAAGAATATGATGATCGCTATCGTCTACCCTCAAATACATGCAATGGGTATTTAGATTCATCATTGTGAATGTATGACACCAAAGACCATAATTTTTTACCTTTCAATGCACGTAATGTCTACAAGCTTCATTTTGTTGAAATATCTACAGCATTGAAATTACGTATCAAGCGTATTACCACGAACACAATTCATTTGGTTTTGCAAACTAAAATTTCGTGGCTGATGTGAGCAACCGATGACAGGTGATGTTCACCAACAGAAAGGAGAGAGCTGAGCTACTTGAGGGGTTGATCGTTAGCAATAAAGACACTAACATCCCCAACTTTTCCCAGGTAATTTCTTTCATCTTCATTTCTGTTTCTTTTTCCCCTTACATCTTCGCTACCTCGTCTACAAAATTATCTATGATTATTTGTTTTTTTTTTTTGGTTAATGCTTTTCATATAGAGAATACATCTGTTATGGGGAGAGAATGATCAAATATTCAAGCTGGAGCTTGCCCAAACCATGAAAGAGTAAGTAGATTATTATATGAACATTCGGGACCATAAATCTCCTTTTTTTTTTTTTAAATGCAAGACTAAACCCTAAACCTTAAACGTTTACACGATTTATAAACAAAAGTAATAAATGACTCGGACTAATATTAGATATTATTAACCCATTTCACTAGTATTTTAAAAGAATTTTTTTTTATTTTTTTCTTTTCTTAATCTACAATTGTGTAATAGTTTAAAAATTGAATTATATTTTATTAACACAAACATGTCATAAATTCAAAATGACATCCTGAACGTGATACGTTACTACTCAATTCACACTCATACTCATACTCATATCAAAAGGTATATATATATATATAAGAATAAGAGTTAAATATGCGTAAGCATGGTGGGGCATTTTGATATGGGCTTAATTGCTTGATGTGATGACAGGCAACTGGGAGAGAAGGTAACATTTGAAGGCATAAAAAAGGCAGGCCACCTGGTTCATATAGAACGACCCTGTGTCTACAACAGGTTTCTCAAGAAATTCCTTGCTTCCCTACATGCAGATGAAGCCCGGAAATGACGAACCTACCCGCCTATATTTTCCATCTGAGCTCATATTTGTTTGTAACCTTGCTCTGTGATTTAAAGAAGAAACATGGGCTCTATTGTCCATGACTTGAAATAAAAGCTTCTTAAGTGTACCATGAAGAGTAAAAAAAAAGTGAAATATATTTTTATGGATATATTTCTTCTCGCTCTATATTGCATTTCTCTCTTTTGTCGTTTATTTTCTGTCGTTTTTTTTTTTCATTATTTTCTCTCCTTGTTAACAACACTAAAAAATTGTAATACAAGTTTGGTGTAAAAATAAAAAAAAAAGTTAACGACAGTAATATGCGACAAAGTGGCCCATAGACAGGTCCGTTAGGATGGAAGCCCACCTGGTCATGGACCGGACTGGTCCGTCACATGGCAGTCCATGCATTGGACAATCACCCCTGGGTTTTGGCCCTTATGACTCGAGGGGCTGGCCTGCTTATGGCCCACGATGATAGACCAACCATTAGCCCAATGAAAATAAAAAAAATTATATTTTCTCTAACATTTAATAAAAAAACTAAATCTTTCATTCAAAAATTCCTATCAAGAGTTGGCCTTCTTTAAACTGGATAACACAACTTAAATTCATTAGAGTTTAATATGTATGATTATTTGGGGGCTGGCCTGACCCATCCCCACTATTACGTAGACTAGTCAGTTGCCTGACTCTCTGACCTTGTTTGGAGCCTTCGATGGACACCAACTTTCACAGAGCCTTTAGAAACAAATAAGCAATTTCAAGGGTAGCTCTGCCGGTAATAGAGACGAGTTCTAAATTTAAATGTTTTAAGTTTGAATTTTGATAATTTTATGGTATTAGACCATGAGAGGGTTTATCCTTTACGAATATCCTAGTCCCGATGTCGATGACTTGCTTTTGATTGGACCAATAAAAGATTAGTCGAGGTGCACATAAACTAATCCAAATATCTCTGACCGTTGAATAAAAAAAACAAATAAACAAACTATGTGGACACAAGATGGGAGTTAGATTTTGGTTTAGGCCTTTTTGAAAATATATCATGATTCAAATGAATGGAATTAGCAAATTTTTTAAAAAAAATAAAATTATTGTTTTTGAAATGAGTTGATGTAGAGCAGCTCGAAAACTTGAGTAAAAGTATAGTAATTGATGATGTTTTTAACATGATTGAGCAGTGGTGTTAATATAAAGTGTACTGAACATTTGAATTCAGCTCAGTTTAAGCTCCAAAGCTCTAGGAAATAGAATTTGGGGACGAGTGATTACGTAGAGTGTTTATAGTGGTTCACCAGCTCGAAAACTCGGTTAATCTACTCTTAAAGGAGTCTCTTTCTCCTGAATATATTGATTACTGTGAGAAGTTTACAAAGAATGTTTTTTTGTAAGGCTACCATGGTTTTTTTTTTTTTACTTTCGAGGGCTTTGTCTCCTATTTATAGTTATTCCTGGGCCTTGCTTGATATGAGGCGAGATTCTCGCTCCTCCGTTGTAACGGTCGTCCTTGATGATGCATAAATTAGTTTTGAACACCACCTATCAAATAATTAATGCAGATAACAATATATAGAGTGAAAACTCAACACAAGTAACACACAATTTAAGTGGTTCGGTTAAGATGACCTACTTCACTGTAAAAGGCTAGAATGACCTAGGCATTTTATTGTTGTAGGAGTGTAAGGAGATCATGTGAGAGTAATGAGAGTTCAGGTGGGAGCAATGAGAGCTCAGGTGAGGTACAAGATGTGAGAGATATGAGAGTGATACCAGATGTGATCCTTTGTGTGAAATGCCCCTCATGTGTAGATGAGACTTAGATTTTATAGTCGTCTCCTAACAGATTGAGACGGATTATTAGTAACTAAAAGACTAATTTGGTGGAGGTAGTGCTATCTTCACAACGGATGAGACTGTTACAGGGCTTTCCTTAAGACCAGGTCTTAGGGTGACGTGATTGACTTCCTTATTTCTTACTCTAAGGTGGTGTGGATGAGGCTCTTGGGATGACACTGCTTACTCCTTGATGACGTGGCTCTTGAAGCCTGACTAGGCATGGATCTCTTTTGGGCTAGATCCATTGGGTTTCCTCTAAGCGGGTCCTTTATTCAAGTTGGCCCCACAACTTGAGTTGGGTGTTGGGTCGGGCCCATCATTTGCCCCCCAATACCCCGAGTCCAATAAAACTTGGAGAAGAGAGCATTAGTTAGATTTGGACTCTGGCTGACGAAGACTCCTTTTAACTGATGACCCATTTTTCTTCTTGATACGGTTCTTTTCCATAAAACATTCCTTGCTGTGAAACTCAGCCCCATTCTGTCACTGGTTAGGATTTTTTAAAAACCCTAGGATACAAATAGGGCTTTTTTCCTTTCTTTTCATTCCATTCACCTTTGAGAGAGAACTTTTGGTGGATGACCATGAATGGTAGCAAGTTGAGTGAGGCAAGAGAGGTTACCCATGAGTTAGGTGACGGGGGATCGCTGTCGGATGAAAGAGGGGAGATGCAAGAAGCCATTGACATTGGAGAAGAGATAGGCAACGATGAAGCAATCAGCGTCAAAGCAGGCATCACCGAAGTAAGGGTCTTGGCAAGCGTTGGCGAGAGGCAGTGACACAAGGGAATGAGGGCAAGGTGCCTTGGGATGGCAAAGACGCCATGACAGGCGCCATTTGGGGAAGAGCAGGTGTTGGGCGCGGATGGACGATTGTGCTAGTGGCGGCCTCGTTGGGGGCTAGGCTCAAATGAGTGAGCATGTCGGCGCTGTGTGCAATGTGGATGTCGACGGGCGAGCCATGAGCGACAGCGATAGATGCTGGGCATGAAGTTGCGTAGGTACAGGAAGAAGGGACGTCGGGAGTTAGGTACTACGAGGGGGCGCCAAGAGGGGCACTATGAGCAACGTATCTAGAAGGGGCCGCCAAGAGGCTTGGTGTTAGGAGTAGGGGAGCTAGAACCTAGGAGTAGGTGTCAAATCCATAGTGTTGGGAGCACATGCAGGCCTTATTTGCGCTAGGTATTAAGCGCAGAAGCATTGTGGCAATAAGGCGACAGTGCTGGATGGCCGCAAAAAAGATAAAACCCGATTGTTGACATTCAATCTAATGTGTAGTCCAGTGGGTTGCAGACAACTTGAGTTTCAAGAGTGTGCCTAGAGAAGGCAAAAATAATGTTATTCCACCATCAAAATATCTAACATGATTGCATAGAGAAAGAGACACACACACATCGGGCTATAGAGACATAGAGGCTGCTTGCGTGAGAGAAAAAATAGAGTTTGAGAATTGCTCGTGAGAGAGCTGCATCTCTTCAGATTGAGCTTTTGGCGACCCGTTAGAGAGTCGCTAAACTAGAGGTAGGGTGATTGTAAGGCTGCCCACATGAGAACAAAGGTAGAATTTGAGGGTTGCTCGAGCTGCGCCTTTTAAGACCAAGCTTTTGTCGACCCGTGAGAGAGTCGCTAAGCTAGAGGTAGGCTAATTGTGAGGTTGCCTGCATGAGAGCAGAGACAAAATTTGTGAGTTTTTCATGAGAGAGTTGCACCTTTTGAGAACGAGTTTTTGATGACCCATGAGAGAGCCACTAAGCAGGAGGTAGGCTGACTGTGAGGCTGCCCGCATATGAGCAGAGGTAGAATTAGGCCAAGCTTTTGGCGACTCACGTGAGAGCCGCTAAGCTGGAGACATAGCCTGCCTGCCTGCTTGAGATCAAAACAAAGATAAACCAAACTTTTGGCTACCCACAAAAAGTCGCTAAGCTGGAGACATAGGCTGTCTTCTTGAGAGTAAAATAGAGATAGACCAAGCGTTTAGCGACTCACGAGAGAACCGCTAACCTGGAGACATAGGCTACCTACTTGAGAGTAGATCAGAGATAAGACGAGTTTTTAGCGACTCTCATGAGAGTCGTTAAGTTGGAGACATAGGTTGCTTGCTTGTAAGCAGAGCAGAGAGAAACTAAGCTTTGGGTGACCCGTAAGAGAGTCGCTAAGCTAGAGACATAGGGTGCCTGCTTGAGAGCAGAGCTGAGATAGGCTAAGTTTTTGACGAACCACGAAAGAGCTGCTAAGCTGGAGATATAGGTTGTCTGCTTGAGAGTAGAGTAGAAATAGGCCAAGCTTTTAGCGACCCGCGAGAGAGCTACTAAGCTGGAGACATAGGTTGCCTGGTTGAGAGTAAAGCAGAAATAGACCAAGATTTTAGCGACCTGGAAGAGGATTCATCTCGCCTGGACCTAGTGATGTCTTCAACATTCATATATTTTTGAGCATTTGCCAATAGTTTTAGCATACTCTTTGGTGGTCGCTTTATTACTAAAAAGAGAAAACTCAACGAGCGGAGGCCTCTCAAGAAGGAGGTCATGGTAACTTTGTCGTTGGGCTCCTCGATTTGGAGGACCTACTCGTTAAAATGAGTGAGGTCTTAGACTCTCGTCTCGATCTTGTTTTATCCTGAACAGATGGGTGACAGACTTTTGGTGGTGGCGTCCACTAATGAAATGTATCACAAAAGATCTGCTTAGTTCGGCGAATGAGCCTATAAAGGTTGGGGTGAGCTTGGTGAACCATTGTTGGGCAGATCTCCTCAGGGTAGTTGCGCAGACTCAAAGACTTGTAGGTATCTAGGTGATCCAATTGGTGTTTCGTGCCATCAAATGCTTTCACTGATGGCATTCTGATTTTCTGGAAAAGTGGGTGATTTGCCACATCGGCTATGAAAGGTGTGTCTGTGCCTTACTAGGTGTTCAACAGTTTTTGGTCCTTGTGCCTTCATGGCATTGAAGACGTCACTCAGTTGATTTTGTACTTCCTTGATTTTTTCGTCCCAATGATTAGGGATTCCTTTGAATAGGTCACGAAAGTGGCTCCCATGGTCCACACTTTGATTTTCCCCTCATTCTCTTCAAAAAGAGAGTCTCCAACATGGGAAGTGGGAGTTAGAGGAGGAGCTGCTCCATGGTGATGATGAGGGGTACCCCTAAAAGGGGTGCCCAAAGGGGCTCCTAAGGGGGAGTCCAATGGGGGACCTCCTTGGCACCTTGGATGAGGAGCTCCCATGACTTGATGTTCTTCTAGTTGTGCACTTTCTTGTCCATCGAGCATTAATTGCAAGATCTGTTGATTCTGGGTTACTAGTTGCAGCATCGTTTCTAGCATCTGTTGTGGGTTTTAAAGATGATCTGCCAGTCTCTTCCTTGCGTAGTGGATTATCCTCATGTTGATTCCTGGATCTAGTGGTGATTGTCATAGATACAAAAGAGGATGATTGAGTGAAAACTTTGTCATTCCCACATATGACGTCAAGTTGATAATGCACAAATTGGTTATGCACACCGCCTGTCAAGTAATTAATACAGATAATAAAATAGAGATAGAAAATTCAACACAAGCAACACACAATTTAAGTGGTTTGGTCAAGATTATCTACTCCACTGTGAAATGTTAGGAAGACCTGGGTGTTTCATTGTTGTAGAAGTGTAAGGAGGTCAGGTGAGCAATGAGAGCTTATTTGAGAACAATGAGAGCTCAGGTGAGATACAAAATGTGAGAGATATGAGAGTGATGTCAGATGTGATCCCTTGTGTGAGATGCCCCTTATATGTAGGCGGAGCTTACATTTTATAGTTGTCTCCTAACAGATTGAGACGAGTTATCAGTAACTAAAAGACTAATTTGGTGGAGGTGGCGTCATCTTCGCAACGATGAGGCTGTTGCGGGGCTCTCCTCAAGACCAGGTCTTAGGATGACTTGGTTGACTTCCTTGCTCCTTACTCCAAAATGGTGTAGATGAGACTTTTGGGATGACACTACCTACTCCTTAATGACGTGGCTCTTGGAGCCTTGATGAGTTTGATTAGGCGTGGATCTCTTTTAGGCTAGACCCATTGAGTTTCCTCTAGGTGAATCCTTTTTTCAAGTTGGGCCCACAACCTAAGTTGGGTCTTGGGTCGGGCCCATCAACCCTTATTGGGCAACGAGACTTGCACTTGTTGGGCGATAAATGTCACAAAAAAGGGAGACTCGGTGGGGTCCAACTGTCCTATGCACAACCTTCCTTGAGATGTGGACTCGGAGAGTTGAGGTCTGAGGTCGAGATCTGTAAATAATATGGAGGAGTTGAGCTCTCAACCTGAGTAGCATGACTTGGGTTATCGAGTCATCGTTGGGTATTTTGTGGTACCATCAGTAATTTATGAGGTAAAACATAACATTTAAATACTTCTAGGGAGCAAAGTGAAATTATAAACATCATTACATATGGAAAATTAAACATGACAAATTGCTATATTTTTACTAAATTAAAGGGCCACTGTAAAACTTTTTTATTTTCAAGATAATGAAGCAAAACTCAAATATATATTAGGTTCCAAAGTGCAATTATACCTATAACCGAACATCTCTCTCCCTCCCAAGGGCGGAGCTAGAGTTTTTGTTTATCCCGAACTAAGCTAAGCATTCATATGACTAACAAAATATAAATATAAACTCATAAACATATATACAATAATACAAATGTAAACTCATAAACACTTAGTAATGAAATTGGACTCTTCGATCCTTCCTAGAATAAAAGACATCTATTATTGAATCTGTATCGATTTCTCTTTATTTCTTCTGAACTTTGAATATTTATAACTTTATCAATGTGCACTGATATATTCTTTAACACCTCAACATTTCTCACATCATTATTGTGTGTGGAAGCAAGACTGTCCACATGTGACAAGAAAACACATTTGACCCCATTATTCACTCTCTTCCAACTACTAAAACTATCAATGGTAAATGCAGGATGTAGAGGTTCACGACCTTGAAAAACAAAGCACGGAAAGCAAAATGCCATATCTTTTAAAATAGAATACTCTAGCCATGGAATGTTTTTGTACAAACTTTCCTAAAATCTTCGATTTTGAACTCTAGTTTTAGTCCTCAGATACTCAGCCAAAATAGGTTGATTTGGTCCCCACTTTATATAAGCACGTCTAACTTCATCTTGATCATAAGTAGGATGTTTTCATATCAGAATATGCAATGCGGGATCTTGTTCAAGTTCATTCTCATCAAAAGGAATTTTTGGAACTTTTGTTTGAGGTTGAGGACCTTGAGGTTCAACAACTGCAGGAATCATAGGAACATCAACACTTGTTGATGTTTCTACTAGACTCAAAGGTTCAAGAGTAGAATTTGATGTTTATTCTCCACTCTTATTTTTGAAGAACGAAAAAATTGTTTTTGCTTTTTTTCGTTCTTTATTTTTCATCCTAATAAAGTAGAGAAGGGGCTAAAAATTAGAGAAACAAACCAAAGAAACAAATCAACAAGACAACAATGATTCTACTATTCTAGTTAAAAAATAATCAACAGAAAATCAGAGAAAATAACTCAAATAACGTTTGAATATATGATCAAGGAGACAATGAATGAGTTATGGTACCTCACACAGCTTAGGTGTAATCCCTGTTTGTGGTTCTTGGAAGAGGATTAGTCGAGTAGAATTAGAGGATGAATGGACGATACGGACGAAATCGAGGTGCTTGGTGTAGGCGTAATCCCCTCTCTATTCTTATCAAAGTAGGAATAGAAAATCTTGAAAAACTCTTTCTTTCCATGATTATTGGGGCTTAACCTTAAGAGTTTTGGGAAATTAAACTAATGATTAGTGATTTAGTGAGTTGGTACTTGTAACCTTGTATGAAAGTGATAATTTTTTTTTTGGATTTAAGGAGGCTGGTACCTCCCAAAAAACTTAATGGGATAAAAATACAATTTTTAAAATAATTGAAATAGAAGTACATATACTAAAAAAAAAGTCATAAAAACCTTTTTACCCCTACCATAAATAGTGCATATCTAATTGAATGTGAGACTTTCAAAATTCCTTTTGATATTTGTATATCATTTAAATTTTAAAATTTCATATATAAATATATATATATATATATATATATATATACACACACACACACACACGTAATACAGTGACACGTTCAACAAAAAAATAGTAACATCAAATAGTAACACAATTAACAAAAAAATAGTAACATCAAACAGTAACACACTCAGTAAAAAAATAGTAACATCAAATAGTAACACATATATTTTTGTTGATCGTGTCACTGTTTGATGTTACTCTTTCTTTGTTAAGCGTGTCATTATTTGATGTTACTATATTTTTTGTTGAGCGTGTCATTGTTTGATGTCACTGTATTACGTGTGTATATGTAAATATATGTGTGTGTGTGTATAAAATTTCAAAATTCAAATGATACACAAATATCAAAAGGAATTTTAAAAGTCTCACATTCTAATCTTGAAAGTCTTACATTCAAGTAGGTATGCACTATTTATGGTAAGGGTAATTATGGAATACATTTTAGAAAGAATTTAAAAATGTTTTAAAATGTATACTTATTGACAACTATTTGATAAAAAAGATGACTTAAAAGATGATAAGTTTGGAGGTGGTACTTAAAGTCAAATAAGTTTTGGAAAAGGTATTCACATTCCATTATCTTTTTTTTTTTTTACTCTGGACTTCAGCCCACCGTAGTCCACTAATGACTCCGTCCTTGTTCCCTCTCTTCTTTGACTTATACTATTAGGGTCAGTTTGCATACGACTTCGCAAAATAGATTTAAAAAAAATAGTTTAATAGACCATAAAACCCTTACTTATATGGCTTTTAAAAGCAATAAACAATAGTTCCGCTCATAGTTGGCCTGACACCTTAAACCCTCGTTGGGTTTCATCAAACTCATAGGAGATGGGTTTCGATCGAGTCATATTTAAATTAGTGAGACAAATATTATTTGTACCCTTAAATTAAATAAATATGAGTATAGATTGAATTAATTAATTGACAATATAATTTTTTATAGAATAAATATATTATGATAATAATAATATATATGTGGGTCTATGTATTATATATCAAGAATAAACTGAATTTAACATTAAATCTCAGAGAAATTTAAGTTTATGTATAAAAAAAAAAAGAGAAATTTAAGTTTAGAAAGGAATAAGAAAGTCAATCCAATGCTCCTAAAAATCCATCAAACAAGCCACTGGACGATAGTTCTCGTGTGCTTCTCTGACTTAGCGGCCAGAGACCGAGCCTCTTGATTTCCGGTTCGGATTGTTAGTCCGTTGACTTGTCTACCATTTGGTTCTTTTTATTCCACACACGTCACCTTACTTCCACCACGGATACCCTAATTTCAGATAGTAGCAGTAGCGTCTTAACTCAAATTCCCCACCAGCACCTACCTTCCTCCACCATCACCGCCACCCCATAAAAGCCCTAAAAACTCTCTCTCTCTCTCTCACGCACTCACATGGGTGAGCAAACCCAAATTCAAGCTCAAACCCAAACCCAATCTCAGTCCAATCAATCCCAACCTAATTCTGATCCCACCACCACCTCCACCTCTTCTCAATCGCAGCCTTCCGTTGCAACAGAAACCCCGAACGATCTTTCCCAAAATCCCTCAAACGCTTCGAAAATCCCAATCAGACCCCAAAAAATCAGAAAACTCTCATCAAACACTTCCGTCGACACTCCCGAACAGAAACCTCAAATCACCGACTCCTCCTCCTCACAATCCCTTGTTATTGCCCCGATCTCCACCGCCACCGCCACCGCCACCAGTACTACCAGGGCCAGGCGACGAAACCCTTGCCTATCCTCCAAGTCTTTGCCCAAAGTTATCAAGCCATTATCTGCAGATGGCGAGATCGAACTTGCTCTCCGCCACCTCCGGGCCGCTGATCCCCTCATCGCCACCTTAATCGACACCCACCCACCACCCACATTCGAGTCTCACCACTCACCATTCCTTGCTCTAGCCAAAAGCATTCTCTACCAACAATTAGCCTACAAAGCCGGTACTTCAATCTATACTCGATTCATCGCTCTCTGCGGTGGTGAAGACCATGTTCTCCCTGACACCGTTCTTTCCCTCTCAAGCCAACAGCTCAAGCAAATCGGAGTGTCGGGCCGAAAAGCCAGTTATCTATATGACCTCTCTAATAAGTATAAAAATGGGATTTTATCCGATGACTCGGTGGTCAAAATGGATGATAGGTCATTGTTTACGATGCTTTCCATGGTGAAGGGAATTGGGTCTTGGTCTGTTCACATGTTCATGATTTTTTCACTGCATAGACCAGATGTTTTGCCAGTAAGTGATTTGGGTGTGAGGAAAGGGGTTCAGCTCTTGCATGGTATGGAGGACTTGCCCAGACCGTCACAAATGGAGCAGCTTTGTGAGAAGTGGATGCCATATCGGTCTGTTGGGGCATGGTATATGTGGAGGCTTGTGGAAGGAAAGGGGAATCCGAATGCTGGAGTGGCGGTGTCATTAGAGGGTAGTGGTGTCTTGCCACTGCAACAAATAGAGCCCCTGCAAGAGGCCCAGCAACAACATCAATTGCAGCTTCTGGAGCCTATTAATGGAATCGGGAATCTTGGGTGATTGCCTCTTGCTCTAATTCATGGCTAGTTTATGTGCATAAGAATTTATTGTTTTGCATTTAGATGCATCTGTGAGTGCATAAGAATTTATTGTTTTACTGCTTCATATTGTTTTCAATCTTGTTATCTGTTTATGATTTGTATTTGCTACACCTGTAGTTCTTATTCTGTCATGAACTATGGTGGGGGATACTTTCACTGTTTTCTTATCTTCGTCTTTGTGCTATCAATTTTGTTGTTTTTTAAGGGATGTAAGTCTGTGTCTTGTAATTACTATTGCCAAAATGCATTCCATCCTTGAAACAATTGCTGTGTGTAACTGCTGCTTGATTGATAAAAGAACTACTTTGCTGAGTTGGATTTCTGAAACTGCTCTAAGCTTATTTATGTTAGATTATAGCCATGACATCAGATATCCCAATATAGATGATTATTTTTTTCCATATTTAAAAAGAGTAAATATTTAAAAAATAAACAGTAACGTTGATAAGAAGATCTAGTTGAGGATTTATCTTGTTTATAGTCGAAGTCTAATATACTGAAGTTCAACATTCATTTATTCTTTCTTGACCTGAATTAGAAAGGGGCAAGTGGATTTATGGGAAAATAATAGTTATAAAGTGTTATTGCCATCGAGTTGAATGGTCTTCTTTTACTATGATTTGTTTGCCATTTGATTTCGACCTCAATATTGTGATATGATCAACACGAAGCATAAGTTTTACGTGTTAAATCAGATATTTTATTCTCTAAACATCTTAGTTATTGCAAAATATTCTCACATGAAACTCCTCTCAGTATAATTATGAGTTGGGAGGTGATCTCAATAAGATCGATATTGTGTTTGAATATCAAGTTGTAGGGTGGATCTATGGGAGCTTGTTTGTGTGTCTAAGGAGACGAGGCTCGTAGGTCATACATACTTCTGCGTTGGTAAAGTTTTCCTGGGCAAATGATTTTTTGAGTTATGATTTTCAGGAGTATATTTGTGGAGACAGGTGATAGCATGGAAGTACGGATTCATCATGAGTGTATCTTTTTTGAATGAAGTTTAGAGATGGTGGGTTTTGGGAAATTATAAGTCGAAATCATTGAGGACTTAGTTTATGTGTATGTTCCCTGATCTGGATTTAGTGGAAAAATTTCTTACAAACATTATTTTGTGGCATATCCCTCTTGCATTCTTCCATTATGGAAGATAACAAGGCTTAGTGGACACATATAAATTCAATTGCGAGAAGCTGCACCGTTTTTCCCATTTTGTGAAGATTAGGGTTTTAATTTTACCCGTGTTGTATAAGTCATGCCCATGCTAGCACTAGGCTTAACGTGCTCGGGGCGTACCTCTTTTGCCTCAACTAGCTTCAGATGGGGCAACTTTGATCAGATGGATGCCTCACACACTTCAGGGATTAAGCCCAAGGCACAGAGACACTCATTTTTCAATTACCTTTGAGACGTCAATATACTTTGAGCGACACAATTGATCTCTATAAGAAAGATATTCATGAAAGCGATGAGTGGTGCTTGGGAGGATGGCTGCATCATCACATGAAGATGATGAGTCTATGTTTGGCTATGATTTTTATTTTTTAAAAATAATCTTAGTCGAAAATAATTACCAGTGAGTGGAGAGGCCTACAAGATACATATATTAGTTCATGAGGTGTTATTTGATAATAAACTCTAGTAGTACTCTCCAGTAGGTGTAACCCCCACATGTAGATGGAGAGAGAAATAGAAGAATCAGAAGGCAAGTACATAGCCATAGCAAGTGATCACATGGTATAAACAAAGGGGAATCCATTACCAAATTGGTAAAATTGGATCTTGCCAAACCTCTTTGAGCATAGGTATGAGACCATGTTAAAATATGTTATTAAAAACCAATTAACTATGAGTGGAGGCGCTCATAATGACCCTATAGTAGTTTTGTAGGTGTTATTTTATCGAAATAGGATAAATTCTAACATCTTTGATTTGAGGTGATGTTGCTTTAGCTTCTAGAGTTGGAGAAAATAGCTAGCGAACTACAACATCAACTTCTAGGATAACACCAAAGGTGTTAAGATCATAGCTACGCTTATGAGGAAGAGACAATTTCAAATGAGGTAGAGGACTAAGATGTGGAGAGATATAAATCTTGTAATGATGAAGAGGATGATTTTGAGGTCATAATGAAAGGTGGAAGCTTGAACTGAATTCTTAGTTGTTTTGACTGTTTGACGTGTATGCTTTCATATGTTATGAACTTAAGATATTTGTGGTGTTTGATTGAATTTAGATGTCAATGCTTTTATGGAATTTGAATATAGAATTTTAAAAGTTGAAACTTTGATGCTCTATAAGTTATAGTTGTGATTGTAGTTTTTATGCCTTGCTTGAAAGATTTGCCAATAAAAAAATATTTACTTCTTATTTTCATTGTTTGCTTTGCTTCAATGAAGCCCTTAAATTGATTATCGCCTCTCGCCTAAAACTAAAGAAACCTGACTTGGTTCACCTTACGCATAAATAGCACTTGAATTTACGGACGCCATTGGATGCTTGATATTATAAGAACTTCGACATGGGAGAATGTGATACAGTTGGAAGGGCATCCTTCTTTTTGTTCTCGAGAGGATTTGTTTTTAATTATAAGATATTTCCACTGATGATGATGTTCCCAGTCCAAATGAATCTTTCAGTTATCTTACCAAAGTTTGTTTGGTCTTCTTACACCCAACTTCAGGTGGCATTCCTCACTTTGTTGATCATCAGACCTCGCGAACTAGTATGTGAACGTGGAATACTTGATTTGGAGTACTTGGATAACTCCAAAAACTAATATTGGTGGAGCATGTTGTTTCCTGTGATGTTTGATCTGCAAAATTGGGAGTAAAATACATGCAAAAACATAATGAATGATTGAGTACATTTTTATAGCTTAGAAATGATTTCTTTATAAGAGAGGCCGCTACGGGTCTACGACAAATATGAACAAGAGCTAGAATTAAGGGATTGGACAGTAATAGCAGAGGGGGTGCCTGTTTATATTGGACAGGATTTGCTGGCTTAGAAAACTGAGTAGCTAGTAGATTAAACAAAAAATTGTCAAATACCCACAACTCCAACTAGTGCATTTCAGGGGGCGTTTGGAGGCGGGGGGTGATCTGGAGGAGGAGATCTCCTGATTCTCCCCTCCCGTAGTGCTTATTAATTGCAAGCATTGATTGCTCTTTAACCTGTTGTGGTAGCTCTCTTGGTGCAGTTGCCATGGAAGGTGACATCGAACTGATCTCAAGCTTCATGTCTTTTTTCTTTGTCCCTTTTGCCTTTTTAGTGACAGAAGCTCAAGTTTAGGGGTTATTGAATTTTTTTTGGCCAGTGGGCTTTTCTAAATGCACTTTGATTCAAGGTGTTGCTTTATCATGTGGTAGTATATGCATCTGAATAAGTCAGCTTTCATGTACCTGGGTTGTGAGCATGCCTCTGCCTAAACAAGACATGGTGGTTTTTTGATGCTCAAGCCTTGTTAAAATCAGTGCTGCTCAGAAGTTCATTATTTCTACTTTTTAATAACCTATTAGTTGAATGTTTATTTTGTTCTTATTATTATTTTTTTGCATTTCCTAATTGTGCAAGAATATGGCTTCTATTAGGTTTTTTTTCCGCAATCAGGAGATATTGATATTTCTTTGTCATGTATCTATTTGTTTCAGGGCTTGCATCTGGGGGCAATGAGTGGGTGGGAAAGATCTTTTATGCGGCTCCTTGCCTGCTTCCTACCCTTAAGTCAATCTAAGAGTCTGCTAATCTGTTGTGAGAAAGAGATATTCATGAAGATTGGACATCAATGATGGGATTGTTGAACTGCTTTTTTGTAGTATTAATTTCTTTCTTACCACTAATAATGAGCATATATGCAAGAGTTACTTGTCATTAGAATCGCAAGAGCAACAATGAAGGACTCTTGCTGAGATAGAGTCAACCCCCTCGCCCCTTTTCTTACCCCCTCTCTCCATATGTTTGTGTGAACTGGGGCTAAAGAGGTGAGGGGTAATGCAGTGCTTTTTATTGAATGTAAAATAGAGTCATCAAATGTTGATATTGAGTTAATCAGCTGATATTGATCTACTTTAAGCATCACTCTCTCTCTTACACACACACCCATATACACACAGATGCACACGACACAAAAATGAAAGTTCCCCCACCTGAGATTGTCAAATTTAATGATGACGGTGCACAAAACGAAGTCCTTATCATTGTGCTACTGGTGAATGGATTCATAATGACCCAAGAAACTAATGGTTGCATTTTGTTTCCTTGTAGTGAAACTATGGCGCCATTGATGCGAAGATCTAAAGGTGTGCTTTTGTGTGTAATAGGCGTGCAACTCAAGCGGGTTGGGTGGATTGGACAGTGAACCCTAACCCAGTATTAGGTATATAATCTTCGATTTTAACCCTAACTCTAATCCTACTTTGGGTTGATAAATTCAATCCAAGCACTATCCGAGTGTAATTTGGGCGAGTTCGGGTTAAATTCGAGTTAATGTTCTAAACCTGAACAAAGTGATAGAAACACCAAATATTCCCCAAGTTTCTACCAGAAATTCCTTCACATTAAGACGACATTATTTTGCTAAAATTTTCTTTGGATAATTTTTTAATGATCAAATGGGCTATAAATAGTGTAACTAGTTTAAACAAAATCCAGCTGAACCATCATATTTCTGTTCAAAAACTGAGTATGATGCCTCTTCTTTCCGGAGTATCTTTGCATATACACAAATGTCATATTTATACCTGGCTGCTCTGAGAGAGAGAGAGGCGAAGATGAGAGGGAGGGAGGAGGGGCAGGTGAGTGAGGGTGAATCGGTGAAAGACTAAGAGTCGGTGAGAGACTGAGAGTGAGAGTCGGGTGAGTCGGTAAGAGACTGAGAGATCGAGAGAGACCGAGAGTGACTGATGGTCTAAGAGAGGCGTTGAGATTAACCCTAGTATAAAAAATGTATTTATATAATATTAATTCGGGTTTAACCCATAAACTCAAGGCCCGTCCAAATTAAATTTGAGTTGAGATTTTTTGACCCAAATCCAACCCAAGTATTAAAAACTCTAACTCAAATCTTAATTCTTAATTTTTTCAGGTCGATACACAGTATACACAAGAATAGTGAATTGCGCTTCTTTTTTTTGGATGCGAAAGGCTGCTACTGTGTTGAGCATAATGAATGGACTTGTGAACAGTTGAATAACTATTCTATTCTGTTCTTTACTTTACAGCAAAGTTAAGTGGAGAATATAACTGATGTGCGCTTAATCTTGCAAAATGCAGTTGCGTGAGAGGTTAAGCAAGATCATGTTAGTCAACCCCAAAGGTCGTTAGCGTGTCAATCAAGTTCATTTTGAGTTTGCTTTGAATATTAGTTAATTTTACTCCTATCCGTTTAATTGATTTTGTCAGATGTC